TATAACATCCACTTGAACTGGTGAGGTGTTAATCAACCGTCTGAGTCATGATGGAAACCCCTGAAAATCCATGGTGAAGATTGCGTGTATCTTAAATATGGCCATTTTAAAAGTCGAACCAAAAGTGTTTTCTATACACTGTGTACAGATCATAGGTATAGATATATACAATCTTGTGTAATTGACTCAAAGCAAAGTTTACAATGAAAAGTTACCCTTAGAAACAATGTCCTAAAACTCCTTCTGTCAATAATACTTCATCAAGGAATAAAATATAATTCATTGGACAGCATGAGTGGGAAGTAACTAAGTACATTTACTTTGTTACTGTAGTTAAGTTTTTTTGATGTATCTGTACTATATGTAGTATATTTATTCTCAGGTACTTTTACTCCTCTACATATATAAAAAATGTTTTTTAGAAGTAATCAATGAACAGACCACCTCCTCCAGAGTGCACCTACAGCAGTATCAGTGTTGGAGCTGGATTGAGAGGAGGCCATGGCTCAGACTCAGCCATAATGATGCAGTAGACCGTTACATTGGAGAATAGGTTACACTCGTCAATTACATTTACTTTTAATACTTATCTAAAGAAAAAAGTGATACTTTTGTGTATTTATTTGTATTTTTATCATGTATAATGTTTGAGTACTTCCTCCACCATGTTAGACTGTGATGGTTATTGTAGTTACTGCATATAATGCACAATAATTTAAATAAAATACACAGCTACATTTGGGAGCCAGAGAATGGGTAACGACTTTAGGGGAAGCCCTTAAGACATTAAAGTTTTATTTGAATTGAGAAACCTTATGACGCAGAAATATACATATATAAATACAGAATCGTCATTGTAGCAGAGCTCATCCGCAGGTGTGTGTGTCTATGCATAAATTGTACTGGAGGCCTTGGGTGCAGTTTGTCAGGTCCACCTTCACTGCAGTCACACTGTGAGGACAGAGAGCCTCCCCGTCCATGACAGGTTACAATAATGCTTACACCGCATCAAACAGACCTGCCCAATTTACCATTGCTGACCATAAATTCCACACAGGCTGTGTGAGGACAGGAAACATTCAAAGGACACAGGAGTCTTTATTTTGCTGAGCATCAAACACCGAAAGAGAAGCAGCAAGGTTTGACGTCATCATATCACACCCTCTTATATAATTACCATTAATATGATGACATCCATATAACTTTATGTGCTTTAACTGTGTCAGAGCAAAAGTTATTCAAACACAGACATGAAGAGATTCCTCATGTGTTTCCTATGAGGTGTAGCTTACAGAATTAAATTTGTGTCAGTTGGCAGGGAGCAGCAAACATCTGTTATAAATATTTGATCGTTTATTTCCATTCAGAGGAGCTTCATTGAAACAGTCTCTCTTGGTTCAAGGCACTGTTCTTCAAAGATAGTGAGAGATAAAACACTTCCTCTCAAAATCCATTATAGTACAGCTGTTGTGCAGAAACCCCTTTGTGGTAAATCTTTTAACGTCTTATCTACTTGACAGAAAAGTCAAGGAACAAATGGATTTCTCTGTTCAAGTATATGTTTCTAACCTTATATGTGACTTTTTCTTCGTAAAGGACACAAATACGCAAATATTCATCAAGTACGTAAGCTCTACAGAAGAGTGACAAATTAAGGAATACATAAGCGAAGAACTAACTAGACAACATAAGAAATGCACATGTCTTCATAAAGTACACAGTAGTCAGAAAATGGGGAGATACATTTGAAAATGATGTGAATCATATGCTTCAGCCTTTACAGTCTTATGTACTGCATTGGATTATTTTGTGTGACATACACCAGCACAAGATAATGTTTCATTGATGGATGATAGGTTTTTAATCTTGGATCTACACCTGATCCAATCCCAGTTAAAAAACTTCCACCAGCATCCACTGTAGTTACTCGTGCTGGTCCAAAACCTGACAAAGACACTTTCCCTGTAACTACATCCACATCTGTATTTTATTGTGAAGGAATAGAGAGTGGATCGGCAGATTTAAAGATACGGTGCTGCCCGTGTTTAAAGGTCAAGCACAGATTGATCAAGCTCTGCAACAGGCACAAATACAACCTGGGTTTATCAATTATAAAAACACTTTAAGTTTGGTGATATGTGGTGCAGGATGAATTTGTTTTGTTCCTCAACCAGTCTGCAAAATGAAGCACAGGGTAGCTGGAGCACCATAAATACTGCAGTGTAATCATCTGGTATCCTGACTCAATTGCTGTTATTTGACCTTGCTATGATTTATTATCATACCCACAACATACCCATCCTCTTATACATACTAATTTATACACATGAATACACACATATTTTATGCGCAGTCCAGTGAAGCTCTGCAGTACGGTCTCTGCTGCTGCTGCTGCTGCTGCTGCTGCTGCTCATTCCTGCCTCTCAGCTGCCAGAGGTTCACACTGCAGCAAGGTGACTCAATGTTATCGTCTTCTCCTCAGAGAGAGACTCCTCCTGCTGAATCACAGCTTACAAAGGGGGAAGAGCAGAAAATGTAATAAAGATTATCTCACGCTCCTCTGACTTTCAGCTCTTTTGTCAAGAATAGTTTGGATCCTAATCTGTCGGTCAAATGGCCACAAAGGAAATCAATTACATCTTTACTGAAATACTTTTTTTTTTTTTTTTTTCAAATTCTCGCTTAAATCTCAACAGAGTAACGTGTATAAATGAGTGTGAACCGGTTTCTTAAAGTGCTTGAATAGGATACCTAACACACATTGAATTTAGATGGCCTCCTCCTCATTTGCAGAGAATTTCATCATCTTATAGTTGTTGATTAAACAGTGCAGATCTTCCCCAGCTTTCTTTCAGTTTCCATGTTATGACCGGAGACAATGATGAATCGCTTTCCATTGAGCTATTGAACTGACATCTACAGAGCAGCGATGTTACATTCATCATGAGCCAATTGATCCACATAAAGATTATATTCATTGTCTTGTTGTGCCAGCTTATAAAAAGCTCATAAAAACTATTGTTATTTTTACTTTAGCACTAACAATTCCAGTAGAAAGCCAATGCTTTTACAACTCACAGGCGACACATATACATGTGTCTCTTTATACAAGCTGGACCAAACAACTGCTGTTATAACAGCATCTGATATGAACACAGTTTACATCTTTTCTCTTGAATTATATTTGATTTAGGATTCTGTCATTTTCAGTGTTTATCACCATAAGCACAACATTTTATTTGTAATACTAATTATAGATTCTATTTGGTTGTATCTGTTTACTCTTTAACACCTGTGCTCTGCATATTTGACCTGTTAAGAGTGTGAACTTCAGCAGACGGCAATAATGAACTCAGCCAACACATCACAGCAGCGCTACCTGCTGGAGAGATGTGATTCTGCACATGACATTGTTGAAGATCATCTAAGGTAAGTGTTGCCCATTGTAGGCAGCCCAGATCACCTGTGTCTGTGTTTGTAGTGAAGACCATCAGTTGCATATAACTACAGTGAAAGTGGCCTCTTTATACAGTACTTGAGTCACAGGGAAGAAAATAAGATTTGAACAAAAGATCAAGACAGAAACTAAGATAATATCATTTACACACTATATAACAAGGATGGATCCCCAGTGTACAGTGTTGACAATAATATTTTTATACAAAAAAGACCAAATGACTTTCTGACCATGAGCGATGAGAGGACTGTCATCATCTGTGAGTACAGCCACAAGGTTCCATGTGAGATGTCCCCATGAGGCCAGTGAGCAGAGACAGGGTGAGAGGTGGACGTGGACCCGTTCATCACACACTGCTGCTTCCTGAGTCGAGAAAAAAACTGAGATGGAACCAAAACTGGAGTGGAACTGCAGTTTTGGGAGTTAACTGCCTTCATTCTTACACCTTTTGGTTTTCTTACAGAAAGTACTGGTGGAAAAAGAAATGATGGAAGACAGAAGATACCCTCATGACCTTGAAATGTCGAGCTGAGCAGTGCTCGAACATAACTCGTTATAATTTTCTTAAAATATACTGATATATACTTGTGCAATTTTTATGTTCTTGTGCTTTCAGTAGTTTGGTTTAATTTCATGCTACTTCATACTTTTATTCCACTGCTGGCTACATGCTACTCATTAGATAAATATCTTACAAACAAAAACTATAATCATTTTATAAAATATGTTGCGTTGTTATTAATTAAATCTCCATATAAAATATAAATTTTCTCCGTCTCAACCAGCAGCAACATCTAAATGTGAGTAATTATGGTCCTAATTCAATATTACAATATATTGCAAAATTAGGTCAAATAACTCATTAATTAACTAATCAATTCATTGTTTGGTGTATAAAATGTGAAAATAGTAAAACATTTATCTGACCAGCAGTCAAAATCCCAACAATGTTAAATTCTCATGTGAGAAGCTCGAGTCAGTAAAGATCTATCTAAAAATACTCAAATGATCAATCAATTACAATTATTGCTCCCTTCAATTAACCATGTCAGCTCTGCAGCACTAGTTGTTTTTTTGGTGCCTGGGGAAATAATGAAACTGCTGTGTAGAGTTGGGGGTGGATGGGGGGCTGACAACAAATCTTTATCCCAGGATTGGACAGGGTTAATCCAGACATGGGTACAATTATACCTATGTATTTTACTTTTTATACTGCAGGCTGCCACCAGGTGGTGATGGAGACGCTTTTGGCTTCACTTTTGGTGAATGTATAATGTCGTCCATCTTTAAACACAGTCCGTGGTCAGTCAAACAAACACGTGAAGAAGAACAGAGGGAAACACTGCTCTGGTCCTGAGCATCATTGTTTCCATCGGATCCATGACAGAGCCCTCTCTCTCTTTAAACGCCTCTGATGCACCTGACCTGTGGACGTCTCTTCACCGCCGCTCTGTCCAATAGCAGCCGCGGATCCGATCACAAACACGGAGGCCCCGCCCACCTGCTCCGCCGTCATGCCGCCACGTACTATACGCTGCAACGCAACGTGCTGCTCTGTTTGACTGACGGCTCAAGCGACCAATGCGCCCGACACTTCCTCTCGCACAGCTAGCAAGGTCGGCTGTGAGCGAGCTAGCTCTCGACGAGGCTAAAGCGGAACAGATGTCGTCCAGGATTCATAACAAAGTCAGTATTTACGTGACACGCGTTTATTCTGCTTTTCTGTGACGGTTTCAACTCAAGGTGGACGTTAGCTCCGCTGCTCAGACTGACACCGTAACGTTAGATACGTAACCAGCTCCATTAGCTAACAAGCTTCATTGGCTAAGTCAGTGGCAGAGCTAAAGCCTCCTCTGGATATTATTAGCTACTTGGCCAATAATGTGCGAACTAAGCAGGTTCAACGTGTTGTTCGATTGTGTTGCTGTGGAATAAGTTCCCTCGTTTATATGTGGGACCATTTATCATCAAATACTATCTGATAACATGAATCTCCCTGTGATAAACATCTGTTCTGAAGACAATTGTTCTCGTTTCCAGATGTGTTGGGTCCGTCTCAGCAGCTGGGCTCTGCTGCTGCTCCAGCTCCTGTGTTCGGAGGCAGTGCCCATCAGTATTGATAAGACCAAAGTCAAAGAGCCAGAGACAAAAGCTGAAGAGATTCCAGTCAGTGTGGTGAGAAGACATTATATGAGTTCATCATCATGAAGCTTAAACCATGTTCTCTTGTGTTAGGCAGCTGTGATCCAGCAAGAACACACGTCTAGTATTCGTTTGAAAACCAGTTAGTGTGGTGGCTTCACATCAGATTATTTACCTGGCATTGGTAATCAGTTGATATCTCTGTATACTATTTTTTCAGTCTTTCTGTTCCATATTACTTCTTTTTGGGCAGTTGGAGGTCAGACAGATACATTGATGGAGTTAAGCAAGCTTTGGAAATTTGGTAATTTCCCTTTTTAATGAACACGAAATGCCTTTTGAACATTTCCTTTTTTACGACATGGCTGAGTCCACGTCGATAATTATTATGGTTAATGACAAAATATAATTATTTTGAGTTTGAAGACTGATTGTTGCTCCTGAGTAAAGGTCGTGGTTTTTAACTGTTCTTCATCAACAGAGAACGACAAACACTTGATAAACATTGTATCAATCTGAGGTAGACCAGTCATGTGTTATACCTGTTCATTGTGCACAATGTCTAAGCTTTATATAGAGATATATATTGGACTTTTGTTATATTGCAATTGATTAAAATTATATTGCGGTAATATTTGATATTGTTTTACTGGCCAGCTCTAATTTATACATTAAAGGTTCAGTGTGTATCAGGGATCTATTGGCACAAATTGAATATAAAATAATCCTCATGATGTTTTCACTAGTGTGTTTCATCAAAATTGTATGAATTGTTGTTTTCTTTACCCTTTATATTTAAATACTTTATACTTACATGGAGGGGGTCCTCTCTATGGAGGCCGCCATGTTTTAAACATTAGTCCAGACTGGACAAACTAAACACCTTTTGAGTTTTTATGACAACTGAAGCTACCACAGGTTCTTTTTCATGTTTGGAAGGAGAGGGTGAGGTGAGGGGTGTTCAGCTGCAACATACAATTACACCACTAGATGTCACTATTTCTACACACTACCTTTAAATCACAAATACATTTTCAGAAATTACTGCTTAATACTGCTTCTGTGCCACCTTTGTTCATGTTAAATATTGACGCAGTGACTCAATGTCTCAAACAAATACCTTGTAGAGTCTGTCTAAAGGTGACAATGCAACTGCAACCTTTAATTGTAGAGTCATCACAGAACAGCTGCACAATAATATGGCAGCAGAAGGCAGGGATGCAGTTTAGAGAAATTAGTGTCGCAACTTTTATATCCGTTGCAAATGAAACCAAATATTCTTACTGAAGAACTAATGATACAATGTTAACATATTAAACAATAAAAATCAAAAAGGGATAATCATTATAGAATTACTCAGTATGTTTTCTGTCTTTCACTCTCTTTCATTTCATAGGACACTGGACTTCACTATGACCGCTACCTCAGGGAAGTCATTGATTTTCTAGAGAAAGATCAGCACTTCAGAGAAAAGCTCCACAATACAGACATGGAAGACATCAAGGTATCCGCAATGTCTTTTCTTTCGTCTTATTAACATGGTGCCATGAGTAAACTGTAAAGTTAGTCATTATTCTGAACATTAAAGTATAAACTTTCACTTGTCCTTGAACAACATGAATCTGGGTAAATCGTGGATTCAGTTTGAGAAATGACACCAATCTTCCTTTCGATTTTCATCATTTTTTGCAATAAATGTAATCTCACACTGTAGGTGTAAATAACTATTTTTTTCATCACTCCTTTGACAAAACAGCAAGGAAAGCTTGCTAAAGAGCTGGACTTTGTCAGCCATCATGTCAGAACAAAACTGGATGAACTGAAGAGGCAGGAGGTGAACCGACTGCGCACTCTGATTAAGGCCAAGCAGGACATTGAAGGAGGGAATGGTATGTTGCGTAACAAAACTTTTGATTCATATTCGAAATAAGATGCTATGACTTAAATGCCAAATCTCTTATGTTTTTATTTATGCCACCAATTTCTCCCTGAATAGACATCGCAGTGGATCACCAAGCTCTGCTGAAACAGTTTGAGTACTTGAACCACATGAACCCACACACATTTGAAGTTGATGACTTAGATCGACTCATCAAATCGGTAAATCTCATCATACTCCATGCAATAAAAAACAATATATTAATGCCATGTTCAAATACACACTGGGGTGCTGCAGTACAGAGACATTAAAACAGGAGTAAGCATACTATACCGACTTACTAAACTGTATTTTACCTCAGTTCGGTGTTCAGAATGACTGACTTGTTTTTTCACTCTGTGATCTGTTCCTTGAAGTTTTTACAACTTGATTTTCAGTTCTACAATATTCACTTTAGTTATGTTTCCAACATAAAAAAACAGATTTTGATTTGAATTTGATTTTCAATCCTTGCTAAATTTTTTTCCAATGCATAAAGGCCACCAATGATCTGGAGAACTACGACAAAGAAAGACACGAGGAGTTCAAGAAGTATGAAATGATGAAAGAGCATGACAGACAGGAACACCTGAAAACACTGGATGAGGAAGAAAGAAGGAAAGAGGAGGAGCACTATGAGGAAATGAAGAAGAAGCATGCAGACCACCCTAAAGTCAACCACCCGGTACGTCTGAATTAAGCATCAATTATAATCCGAGGACGTGGACACAGATAGCTGCGGACACCACAGATGTGAAGTTATTATTGTGCTAGGGTTAGGTGAACTAACAAATCAGTGGGTACATGGATGTGCACACAGAGGCCTGCACATACCCTCTGATGATGACATTTATGTTCCTCGAACCCTAGCAAGCCCTCATGCATTCAAGGACGCAGAGAGTTTAACACCAGGCTTAAGTGCACAGAAAACATGACACAGCCAATGTCAGTCAATGAATGTGTCGCCCATTTGGTCCAGGCCTGCTGGCCTATTTCAATGGTTGAATTTTGAGTGTTTTTTTTCACATGGAGTGTATTTTCAATACATGTAAAAAGTTTTTTTTTTTACCTACCTGTAATTCTACATATTTATTTTACATGTTTCAGGGCAGCCAGAATCAACTGAAGGAGGTGTGGGAGGATGCTGACGGCTTGGACCCTGAAGATTTTGACCCTAAGACCTTTTTCAAACTGCATGGTAAAACTTTTTTACCTGTTAACTGTTAAAGACTTTTATATTATATTATGTGTCTTCAGATATAACAGAAAGTCATGCATACATTCGCCTGTGTCTTTCTTTATAATGCAGATACCAATGGAGATGGCTTCTTTGATGAACAGGAGCTGGAAGCATTGTTCACCAAAGAGGTAAAGCCACGACATGTGAAAATGTGTCATGTTTCAGTGAACCATCTTTGCACTGACTGTCGGTCTTTGTTATTTTAGTTGGAAAAAATCTACGATCCCACCAACGAAGAAGATGACATGGTGGAGATGGAGGAAGAGAGGCTGCGTATGAGAGAACATGTTATGAACGAGGTACAGTAAGAGACAACTTCTCAACATTGTTTATTAATGCTACTTTTCTGTTTGTCGGGTAACTGTAATTTTTAGATATGCATTTAATGAAATATTGATGCATTAAGTTTATGGTAAAACTGCAACTTCATGATCATCTTTACATATGTGGACAGTAGTACATCAATGCAAAAGCCACAGCTTGTTTGAGCTGTTTACCTAGAGAACCAGCAAATAAAAACATTGATTTATGCCTCAATTTGCACCTCAGCTGGCTTTAAATCTTCTTATTAATAGACTTCAATCTGTTATTTTGACTCTGCCAGTGAATAATCATATACTTGTATATATATATATTACTTGTATATACAGTATATATATTCTATGCTAACAATCTCTGCTCTTGTCTCCTTCATAGGTGGATTCTAACAAAGACAGGCTGGTCTCTCTAGATGAGTTCCTGGTTGCAACAAAGAAAAAGGAATTCTTGGAGCCTGATAGCTGGGAGGTGAGATTTACACTCAATATATGAGACTTTATCATGTTGACATTATTTCAGAGAAATTTGAACCTTTTCATAAAACATTTAGAGCTTGATTAAATGGTTCCCCCTCTGCTTTATTCTGCTCAGACCCTTGAGCAGAACCAGGCGTACACAGACGAAGAGATGAGGGAGTTTGAGGAGCATCTTGTTCAGCAGGAACAGGACCTGAACCTGAAGGCTGTCGACCTCCAGAAACAGAGAGACGAGCTGGAGAAACAACAGGAGCAGCTCAATGCACAGAAAATAGAGCTGCAACAGGTAATTAGACACACACTGTTACCTGAAATGTCACCTCAGTAGGTTACTTTAACAAAGAGTGAGGAAACCGTCCACACCAAATGTTTGAGGTTTGTGAGAAAATATATGTTTCATGTTCTATCAAGACACCAGATTTAATCTTTGTAGATGGAATGTAAAGCTGCTTTCGGACAAGCACTGAAGTCTGGTTATTTTCCTGTAATTCTTCAGAGGAGCTGTATGCGAGAAAGTAAAGGAGTCAGTTACTCGCAAGCATTTCTGAAACTTTTCCTTCCAGCGGCTCAGTAAAATGTTTGCAAAATGTCAGAGCGAGCCAATTTGAGAATACAGTGAGCGAGTAGATGTGTTGTTGATATTTCTTACACATGAAGGACGTGAAGCTGGAAGAATACGAATAACTCAGGATGAAAAAGAGGAGCCATACACCTGTGTCTGACTCCATGTGAGAGACACACTCTGGATAACGTCGGGAAAATTGTGTCCGGACATTTTCTGCAGTGTGTCTAGTCATGTCTGGAAAAGTGTGATACTTTCTAAAACTTAATTTTCCTCAACTATGTTAAATTTAATTTCAACTTATTAAAATGTGACTATCCGCTGCACTGTATATACGATGACCTGATATGAAACTTCTCTGTTACAGGCAGTAGAGCACATGGAACGCTTGAAATCACAGAAAGTAGATCCGCCTCCAGAGGTTCATGGTAAGTGTCTATTGCACTATTTCATGTTTATTAGATCTTTTTTTTTAGATTTTACAGGCAGAGCTCTGACCATGTAAAACGGTGTCTTTGCTACAGTTGAAGGAAATGCTCTTCCAGAGATATATCCAGTTGACATTGAGTTACATCCTGAACAAGAGGGTCATCCACAAGAGCATCAGCCTGCACCTCAAGATACAGCTCAGGAACACCACGCACAACAAATTCAAGACCTGGCTCAGGAAGGTCTCCCCCAGACTCACCAGGATCTGCCACCAGGCCACCGGGATCTGCCACCAGGCCACCAGGAAGCTGCACAAAGCCAGCATAACGTGCCGTAACAGTTTTATCAGAACTTGCAACACCAGACTTTGGCAGCACCTCCACTCTAGCGTGCAGAGGAGAAGACCCTCCAGAGTTTAACCAGTGTGACTTCGGAGCACAGGAAAGCAGCACAAATGGAATCCCTGTTGAATGACACCAGTGTTTGATAATAACTGTAATCTTTGGATTACATCCTTATAATGACCAACCAAGGACATGCATCTTACAATGTGCAAACGTAGTTGTGTTTGATGACATTAGACATGATCCAGAATGTTAATGGTAAATTTTTGTTGAACCTTGTCGACCTGCAGTTGGCTGTTCAAACTACAGAACCTCAAAATGCCACTGGCTCCACGACCTGATGGTTTTGTTACGGGAGCCTGTCAAATGTCCTTATTGTGACTCATATTTTCCGACTTGACAAGATAAAACCATCCTCAAACCTTTTAGAAAGACATTAATTTACACGTGTGGCTTGTGAAATGTTTCACTGGACTTTTTCAGACATTTTAGTTATATGAGTGCAAGATTTTCTATAATTGCATTAGACCTGGAAGAAGAGGCCCTATTACAATTTTAACCAGTTTACAGCAGTCTGATGCCCTTACAGAAACAGTTTCACCTAACAATAAGAGTACGGACAAACAGGCTGAGTATGGTGTTCTAATCGACAAGGCTTCAGTCGGGTCTTGGTTGAAAAAGTATTTACATGAATCCAGTTCCCCCACAGTCCTCATACTTTTGTCAAGAAATAATTTTACCAATATTTTTTGCTACTTTCTCAGTGTTCTTTCTGGTTGCTTTATAATATGTCAGCTATTCACCCGTCACAAAATATTGTTTGTTTGAGTTTTTTCAACTGGAGAAAATTATGTGCTACATTGGTAACAGGTCTTTTCAAAATAGGAGATTTTTTGGCCACACTGAAGCTACACTCCACTGACTTTGTTGTTAAATTAAAGATTCTAAATGAATGTGCATGTGTCATGTTTATAAGTTGATCATTATTTCTAATTTGCTTGATAAAACTGTTTTAATGTCAAGCTTGTTTTATCATTTACGATATAGACAGAGTATTTTTATTTATTTCAGCTGATTGAAAGTTTATTAGAAAAAGATTTGACCAGTGTCCCATTAAAAATGCAGCATCATTTTAACCTGTTTAAGTCAAAGTCTAACATGAAAACTTAGGAACTGATTTTATACATTTATACAAACACTCATTGTGTGTGTGTTATTATACAGATGTACTTGCTGCCTCTTCTTCTAGTCTAATGTTGTGGTTCCTTCTTGCTGGCAGACAGTGTCCAAGGCAAACATGAATTAACATAATGCCACTTTTTTGCATTCAGTCAAATAACAGCTCTGCCTTACTGTGGTTTTACTTTATACTTCATTCTGACATGGAATACTTTTGTTTTCTCACCGTGTTGTTTGTTTTCTGCGTGCCAAGCGTTCCTTGGAAACAATACTGCGTCATGATTTGCACAAAATGTACAGATGGTGTTTCTGGTCGCTTTCTGCTGGATTAAAGTCATGTGATGGTACTGTACACCTCTGTTCAACATAATAAAAGTTATCTTTCAGGCTGTCTAACAGATTGATTACCTGGTGAATGATGTTTCAAACTTTCACAATATGATGGAATACACTTGGACAAGAAATCGTCAGTTTGACCATGACAACATATAATTATTTTGTTATTTGTCATTACAGTGTTTATGTATTGTGCCTCATTATAAATGGCATGTACTTTGTGCCTGTTTATAGGCTACACGCCGCATGTGAGAATGAACAAACTGAATGTAACAAAGACTTTGCCACTGGGATTGTCTTGATGTCACAGGTTTGAAGGCCTCAGTGACACAATGACCAAACTGAACCAATCCAATGTGACATGAAAACGTGTTCAGAATTAACATAGCAGAAAATAATAGAACACAACTTTATTGAAACAGTCTCAATGAATAACATCGGCATACAAAGAGGTGATGGCATAAAAGGTGACTGGGGTTAAAAAAAAAAACCAACCAAAACATTAAATGCCTTCATGAGACGTATTAGATCAAAAGGAAAGAGTGACTGGCAACACTGGGCAGAAGAAAATCAACCGCATGGAATTAGATCGACAGTGGCAGGGTATTTTTTGCATTTATTTTGTACAAAAAATAAATTAATGAAATCTTTCAAGTTTACAGGAATACCTATTTGTTGTTTTACAACACACAGACATGCTGATAATCCTACATGTGGTGAAGTTCAGCATTTTGTGTTAAAACATTTAGAGGATCTAGACAGACCAAAGCAGACTGACTCAGATAGTAGTAGGCCAGGAGTTAAAAAAATAAGATTACCAATGAGAAATAAAACATTGTTAGAAAAGTGAACAGGGGCGAACACATTCAAAAATCCTGAATGTTCAACGTGGCGCAACTTGATGGTCCTTAGAATCCTTTAGGATCTCATTGCTTGAGCGTTACCTCGAGACAAACCTCGAGGTCCTTGGGCTGCTCCCCTTTTGTAGCCTTGCTGATATCCGTCCTTAAAAAAACAACAGTATTTACTATAATGAGCCATCTTACATTTAAAAAAATCTAGTTCAAATCGACAATTAACTGGATAACAGAAGATACTTTGCACATTAAGTAGTTAATGATTAAAGAAGCCTTACCCGCTGGTAGGTGCTATTAGAATAGTCCCGAGACGTGTTGAATTGGGTTTGACCATAACCACTGCTGGGAGCATTTGAGAAAGGAGGGCGGTAGCCATCATATCCCCCTGAAATTATGTATTGTGTCAATAAAATAAACCATGAGACGACCCTACACCTGTATATTTGTAAAACAGTTTGACGCTTGTACCTCTAAATCCATTAGAGGAGCCCCGGTATCCATTCATCACGCCTCGAGCGTTCCTGGGTCCGGACCTGGGCACGGCCCTGCTGTTGTAGAAGGACTGTCCTGACTGACCAAACCCTGCACCTGGAGTAGATTCTTCATGAGCTCCTGCTGGAGGCATGACTGGGTCTTGGGGCTGGAACCCGCCAACAACTGGACAGCAGCAAACAAGACAAAAGAGTTAATGTGTATAATGCTTTGTTCAGAGATTACATTTTAAATTAAAAAATAACATTCAACCTGAAAAATCTTCACTTGTTTTTTTGCCTCATAGCATGTCAACTGTAGTGTCATGAAAGGGATTTAGTCTTTCAGGAAGAATAAGAAAACATAAAGCCTCTGTAAACCCCAACAAATACTTTACCTGGTGCAAACTATTCTGTTAATGCAAGATAAAACATGTTATTTTCCTCTAGAATCCTAAACATAAAATGTGTGTTCATTTTTCCTCACTATAATGTTTAATGCTGCCTGCTTACTATAGAGGTGATTAACTATCTCAGCAGCTTGTGTACATGCAACTAGCTGAAGCTGTAGCCTCACCTGACTGTAGTGTGTCCTGTGGGATGTCAGGCTGGTTGACAGTACTCTCTGACTGGCTGCTGAAAGCCTGTCCATAGCCACCAGGGAACTGGCTGGGCTGCTTCAGAGGGTCTGCTTGGCCTTCAGTGGCCGGAGGTACAGGTGCATTCATATTAAATACCTGAGGAGGAAGAAAGGGTTTCTGTATTTCAATCTGTCAAAACAAAATATCACAGTCCCAGTAGAGCGTCTGGAAAAAAAAAGAATTATTTCAGCTTGGGAAATTAGGGCAATATTCGTATTGTCGCAGCAATTATTATCGAGTGTTCTGCTGCAGCTAATAAGCCAATTTATCTTGTACAATCATGTACAGAACCAGAATGTCTTTGACTGAGGGTTAAAAGTCCAAACATATTCACTGGATCGGGACAGAACGCGTACCGCTTGCACTGACTGGAAGGGCGCTGCGTTGACATTGATGCCTCCAGTGTGTGTGGGCTTGGAGACAGGTGGGAAGGCAGAGGACAGGGAACATGGGGCAGGGGACTGCTCGGGCGAAAGAGACATCGAGGCCTGAGGTGGGAGGAAGTAGGAAACAGGGAAGGCGAGGAAAAAAGGATTGTGGAGAGGTCAGTGTGAAAGAAGGGCTCACTTAAAGACTCCTCCTTCTACCGTATTACCACATTATATAACTCCCTGTAATGCAAAGTAGATGACATCATAGTATGTTTAAGAGCGTCACGTTAAATCCATGTAGCAGCACTTCTAACATATGGCCCACAAATACAAGAATTACCTGTACTTCCTGAGTTAATAAAAGGATGCCCCGCTCTTTACAGCAAATCAAACTCTCACTAACTGCTTCCTGCTGAGCTTCCACTTGACTTACTTGTGAGGATTCCTGCGGTCCCGGGACTACACTTGTTTGAGGAAGTCTGGACTCTGAAAGGGCTGTTTGAAAGAAAATAAAAATGATTAAGACTTTAGAAACTACTCGATGTGTATTACACTTGACGGAAAATACAGTCGGGTCCATACGAATGTGGACACTGTTTGCAATTTTCATAATTTGGATGTACACCACCAAAATGGATTTGAAAAGACGCCATGCAAATGTAACATAAGTGCAGACTTTCAGCTTTAATTGAAGTTTGATTAAAAACAGTTAGGGAATTAAAGCCATTTTACATATTGTCATACTCCACTTTCAGAGGCCCTGAAGAAATGAATTCTACAGGCGCCTCCAGTTGCTGCTTCTTTGTGGGTCTTTCACTTGTCTTCAGTGAGTGCAAAGTTTCACGGCTTCATTTCAAATCCTTTGTGATGATGTACAGATTGGCAAATGTCAAATAACCTGACAATGTGGATACATGCCAAAAAAGTGACCAGACAGTTCTCAACAGAATCTGTTCAAAGTGAAAGTAAAATTAACTGGCACTGACGTGAAGGGCAGCCCATCTGCTGCAGGTCCGCAGTCTGCACAGGCTTCATGGGCTGAGCAGACACAATGGCTGGGTCCAGAGCTTGGCCGTCAAACTCCAACACTGACTCCTAGGATGAAAAGGTGAACATATTGCTGAGTCATGGATCAGATTTTGAGACCGTGACATTACAAAGTACGTCCTACATCCTACATCAGCAAGCACTTGCCCTACTCAAGGCTTTGAATGAAACAGCTGAGTCAGTATCATGCTTTAAATCTCTTAATATTTTCTTTCCACCTTTGTTACCAATTTTGTAAAATGCTCTACAAAACATTATTTTTACTCAAGTATCTTCCGATGAATAACTGGCTCCACATTTGCTCTAAAGATTCCTTTTCTGTAGCTCCCTATGTGCTTTAACTTCATCTCCATGTGAAAGTAGACAGAGATTTAACTACATCAATCAATAATCTCAATGTATGAATAACACATCAAGTGCTGAGCTGGGCACTTCAGTATGTAGCTTGACTATTTCACCTGCATGAAGTTGTAGGTTCCTTGCATCTGGGCCATGAGGTCTTGCACTACCTGCTTTCTGACCACTGGGTCAGTGGTCGGAGGGGGAGTGACACAGTTCATAGTAACAGTTGGTTCTGGAGCCAGTTGGGCAGGGGGCTGGTGCTGGAGGGAATTTACCATCTATTCAACACAGATACATATGACAGGCACATAGAGTCAACTGAAATACAGTAAGTGTTGAAACATAGCATAGTAGAATGATGTTGACATGGTATCACTGGTGTGATTACAGTTCAGCAGCATACCTGAGCCTCCACTGTCCACTCCTCCACTTGTTCTTTGTCTGTACTGCTGTACGAAGTTTCTGGAATGAACTGTCTGTTCACAAACTATAAAAACAAGACGACAAACTGAGAATAAAACCCAGCAAAAAGAGGGAAAAAATCTCATTTGTGAGAGTGGAAGCAAATCTCATAGAAATCTCACCTCTGTGGTTTCCACTTTAATTGGTGGTGTGTATTTTTCACTCACTGGTCCTTCTGGAGAAAAAAGGGCAAATAGGAATTCAGTTTTCTTAAAGAAATAATGCACACCCACATATCTGTTAATGGGTTCTTAGTTACCAGGTTCTGATAGCTGCTCCCCAGCCTTGGACTCAGCCACCACAGTCTGCTCCTCTTGTTCTTCTTCCTGCTCACACGTCCCATTCTGATGAGTTTGAGCTCTGTCAAAGTAACCACTGAGCAGCACTTTGTCCAGAATGTCCTTCAGTGACTTATCTAGAATAAAGAGTGACAGGTTTACATTTAACAACCCACAATGACAAAGTGAAAATCTGTTTAAAGACAGGAATAACCATATCAGCAGCACGTTATCAAGCAGGTCTTAATGGTAGAGAATGAGTAGGTGGAAGCCACTTTGAGACAAGGCACATTACAGCCAGAGCATTAAATAGAACTTTGAAGAAAGCAACTCCAGCAACTGCTCATCAACTGACACAGCACCTCCCTATGGGAATTCTTATGGTGGTGGCAGCTACATGCAGAAAGGTCCTAGAAGAAAACCTTCTCTAGGCTGGATATGACACAGACTGGGGCGTCAGCATGACAACAACCCAAATCATACAGTCAAAACTAAGCTGTCATGACTATTGGACACATTTCTGATTGTCCTTGGGGGGGCCAATCTAAAGCCCTAACCTAAACCCCATCGAACATGAAGATCACTGAAGATGAT